ACCCCAGCAAAATCTCGAATAACTTCGCAACTGATGAAAGAACAAATACAAAATAAAGCATAACTAATTTTATAGTTAGTAATTATTTAAATATTCTTATTATAAAGAAAAAGGTATACTTGGGATAACGTTACCCCAGCAGGAAATGTTTTTGTGAAATAATTAAAAAACTATAAGCGCAACAAATTTAAAAATGTATGCAGCAATTACAGAAGCCCACAATTAATTATCTATAAGATTCAAATGACCATTTTGGACAACATCTGGCCTGGGTAACGCACACAATATACAGAACCATAAAAAAATCATTAATGGTTATTATTATTATAATTATACATAATATTATTTAACATTGTTAAAAAATTTAATTAAAAATAACATGTATCTTTATAGTACTTGATGACTCCATAAATAACAAAGTGATAATGAATTGTAGTCATGAGACAAATTCAACTTACAATATCATCATTACCACCGGAATATATCTTCTGGTTGTCATTGGTGATACCGAGACAGAACACATTGGACTGGTGCAAGCCTTTCATAGGCTCCGGCTTGCCTTTGTCGAGGATTGCTTGTCCGAACTGCCATAGCATAACCCTCCGGTCATCGCCACCTTATAATAACACATTTTGATATGTAACAAGCTAATTATTAATACATAGCTACTCTTGTACTGTTACACTCTCTCTGCTGGTCTCCTATTGATTGTAGAGTGATGTTTTATAACCTATTTATAGGCTATAGGAAGCCTATAATAAATGCATTATCCTACACAAAAAGAAATTTTCAAATTGGACCAGTTGTTCCACAGATGACCACAACAAACAGCTTTACATAGCAGTATAAAATAATAATAATTTCATGCCGATTTCGGCTATGGCAACCAATTCATGACTATCTATGCGTCTATCATGAGCTTTCATGTGGCCATAGGGGCTTTTGTCATTAAAAGCTGAAATAATTATTTGATGTTTTTAAAAACAGCAAAACATCGAGAGGGGTTGCAGTCTCTGGAGGAGACTTCAATCTTCATTCATTCAGACCTTCACCTTAGGGGTCCCAAAAACTAAATATTCATATAAACATTTTTTTTTTTAATGTACATTGCTTTTTAAATTGGGAAGTATAATGCTTTTTTAATTTTTTTTATTATATTTTAAATCTATTTTTGGCAGAAGTTGTGTTGTATGATATTAATCCAGGAATTTTGGATCAAGATCTATTGTTAAACTGACAAATACCAAGCGGTCACCGGTGACCGCTTGGTATTTGACAGTTTGTTGTTCGTTGTTTGTTGTTTGACAGTTGTTCTATAATTGTGTCTACAAAACCGGTACTCGACGAGTTAATTATAGTTATAAGACTCACTCATGAATTGTCACAAAGATGTTATGTACAGTTCTAAACATACAGTAGCATAGATACAACAAGGCTGATAGCATAGACAAAGCAAAGTTAGTTTTTAAAACATAACATAACATTACACTTTTTAGGTAGGTGGTGAGGTGCACATTATGGCACTTAATACTGTATAAAGTAACATTCACTTTTCACTATATACATTATAGCTACTTCCGCGCGGTTTCACACACTCTGCTCAGCTTTTATTGGTCGTAGCGTGATGTTTTATAGCTTATAGCCATCCTCGATAAATGCGCTATTCAACACATAAAGAATTATTCAGACTTGTAGTTACAGAGATTACCGCGTTCAAACGAACAAACAAAAAAACAAACTCTTCCGCTTTATATATAGTATGAGTCCCATGTAATAGGGGGTGAGTCTATATTGTCATATACCGGGTACAATTCCAGACTCTGTGCTACTTCTGAAAATTTTATTAAAAAACGTACTTTGCCTGACCCAGGAATCGAACCCGAGACCCTAGTTGGCAGTCGCACTCGCAACCACTACGACAATGAGGCAGTCCAGTTTTTAAAACAGGTTGAGGTACATTAGAGTCAGCTAAATGACTAAATCAATCTATATTTTCTGCATACCAAATAACTAGACTGCCTGACTGTACATTTGGTAGACGATACATTAAAGTTTATTCAGTTTGATGACCATGTCTTGGCAAATCAATAATAAACAGGTGGTTGTTATAATCTAGTGTTAGCCTGTAGCCTGGCCACCTGTACATCATGATTAGTCTCTAATCTAAGACTGCTGTATATGCAGGACAAATCTCTTGTAGCTCATACAGAAGGCACCTTGCCACCTACCCCATCTTCGATTTTAGTCGTGATAGTGCGAGTATTTTCCGTCCTCCCATGAAGCTGCACTATAATATGTTGTTCATAAATAGATAAAATTGTGATCATCAAACCGCAACCTACTTGTTTATCATTCATTAGTTACGGACATAGTTAATTAAAATAATACATAGACCCTATTTATTAATACTTCACTTCGTTTCGCCTGTTTTAGAGATATTACCAGTTTTAGAGTAAATTATTGATATGAACATGCAGTCTACAGGGAAATGATTACAATAAATATGAAATGACATACCTGATACCAGAAATTCGCCATTGCTGGAAAACTCAATAGCGTTCACACATCCAAAATGGCACAAAAGATCTCGTCGGTACAAATTTTTTGCAACAGCTAAACGTTTGTTAAAGAAATTTGATTTAATATTTCTTATATCTCCATATTCCCTTTTATAAACATAAGATAGAGGATTTGCAGAACCCGCTGCCATGTTTAGAACTAAACCACCATTTTCTCACGAATGAAACAAAACTTCTCTTGCCTTGTCGATCAGCTGTATTTTATTTTTAAAAACAATTTTACGTTTCGTTATTCCTGTTTATACGTCACAATTTATACGCTTTTTTGTTTTTAAGATTTATAAGGACACTGGGAGGGTATGACTGAGAAACCCATTTTGTTACTTCAAGCAATGTTCCATTTTGTTTTTCGCAAAACACAAATATTTTTGTTGGGAATTTTGAAAAAATTATTATGTCTGTCTGTCGCAGTTTTCTAGCTTTTAAAATTTTTTTTAGCAGTGTCATTGTCATCTGTCACACAAACGTCAAAGTCGCATGTGGATTCGGGATTGAACACACGTGAAACTATTTGAAAATATAAATATTTCAATTATTGAGTAATATTAAGCGTAACCAAGCCACTTTAATCACTTTATTCAAAAGTATGGTTGTAGCTGAAACAATGAATAAACCCGTCCTCAAAGTATCGAGTAAGTAATTTGAATTTTGAGAATGATTTTGTTTCAAAACTTTCATGAGCGTGTTATTTTATTTGTCTATTTGTTTTTTAGTGGATTCAGAATCAGATTCATCAAGTGATGAGGAATCAGAAGCGTCGGAAAATAATGAAATAGAAGAGAATGAAGAAGCTGAAGATGGAATTGAGGCTGATGCTGAAAGCGATGGTGAAGAGCATGAAGGTGAGGCTTCAGATGAGGATGAGAATGAGGAGGCGTCTGATGCTGAAAGCGATGATGCAGGCAGTTCACAAGATGCATCAGACGAAGATGAAGATGACAATGATGGCCCTCTAGTAACTAATGAAGGCTGGGCAGATTCTGTAGCAAAGATCTTAGGATCAACAAAGCCCAAAAATAAGAAAACTTTAGTGTTATCTAGAGCTAAGAAACATTCAGAGATAGTTAAAGCTGTGAAGGAAGAGAAACCTGCATTTGAAGTTATAGGGGATGAGACTGAAGAGAAGAAGCCAGTAGTACTGAAGAAAGAAGCAGAGGTTTCGGAACCTCCTGCTAAGAAAGTGGTCAGTATCATTATACAATTACTAAACTATTATTGATAGTAAAATAACTAGCAGTACCTATTAATCAAAATGACTTAGACACCTGTCTCAAAGTATTACTAACTATTTGCAAAGAAAATATTTGTGAAATTATGTTGTGCCCGAATTGCTTAGTATTATGCAACCTACATATATACAATTTATCTATAAATACTTTCGGAGCTATTTTGTTCTTTCAATTAATCTTGAAAACTCGTTATCTTTACAGAAACACGAAAAACCATCAATACGAGTAAAACCAAACATACTGGAAAAGGACAGAGAAAGAATATTAACAAAAATAGCCACAAAAGGTGTTGTCCAACTCTTCAATGCTGTTAGGAATCAACAAAAGACAATAGAAAAAGAAATGGACAGAAATGATTTGTCCGAAGGCAAAAAAGAAAAAATATTAAAAAAGTTTGATAAGCGGGCCTTTTTGGACACACTTATGGGACAGAGTAAATCGGTTATTGTTGATGAAGAAGCAAAAGTTGCAAAGAGTGAAGTTAAAGATGAGGATAAACCTAGATGGAGCGCTTTGAGGTAATTTTATGAGTTTTTTAAACTGTTTAGCTAGTTTAGTCAGCCTTTAAATATGGAACTAATGCACATAGTTTGAAGATAAATAATAGAGGACCTAAAGTGACCTCATATAATAATATTAATTTTCTATATTCGAATCTAATAGAACAGATTGGATTTTAACTATTCATTATTTTTATATTAAAACTTTTTGAGACATACTAAATTAAATTGTTATATTGTTGGCTTACTCACTGTAATAATAATAATAAATTATTTTACTACTATATAATACAAATGAGTGTGTTCATGTCTTTATTTTTTTAATTACAGAGACGATTTCATGATGGGTGCCAAAATGAAAGATTGGGACAAAGAGTCAGTTGATGAATGAAAAACATTTGTTTTAAGTTTAAGTACTGTTTTAATAAATAATTGTAAATATCAAAGCTATCTATTCTTTACATTATCAATATTACACGGTACATTACATTACTGAAATAATATTTACATTCAAAGTTTATTTAATATCAATACAACAGTAAATAATTACATTTATTTAATCTCTAAGATTCATTTTATTACATAGACTATTTTAATAATTTGAAACATAATTATATCCACCCAAAGGTTGTCTGGTAGAAATCACTATAAGTGATAAGACCGCCTTTGTGCCCATTATTATCATTTGTCATTTTTGTCATTTCCTTTTCTGTATGTACTGTATTATTAATGGTGTACAATAAAGTTATAAAAAAAAAACACAAAGATACTGGAATGAACTAAATTACACTAATTCATAATACAAATTATACTTATCTAATTTCCACTAGTTCTATTTTATGAACATGGTATATGCATCATTCCCAACTGAATGCTGTGTGATCTGCTTGGGTAAGGTGGAATAGATCTTGACTGGCAGGTTCCAGACCATGGTCTCTATGGGTACATTCAGGGGAGCAGTCCAATCCTTCTCTTCTGGGTTAGGCAAGAGCTTCTCATTGGTTGTCACAAACTCGAAATGGAGTCTCCAACTTAGGGATACTACAATAAAAGAGATTTTTTTTATTTTTACTTAAAAATGAATAAAATACGTCCAAATTAAAATTACATTTCTAACAAACTACTGGCTTAAATAATATTAAAATTGAAAAAAAAAAAAGAATTTCCAAAATCGGTTCATAAATAACGGAGATATCGGCGAACAAACATAAAAAAAGCATATACATATTGTCGGTCGAATTGAGAACCTCCTCCTTTTTTTTTGAAGTCGGTTAAAAACGATTAGCAGAGTATCAGAGGAGTATTCTTAGAATTATCTGATAATATTCTAAAACTATCTATTGCCTGCGACTTCATCAGTTCATCCGATTAGAATATGAGTTTTAGGAAATTAGTTTCTTTTTGTTTCAATTTTCCAAAATAGACATATCCTATGTTAGTCCTTAGTATATGAGCTACCTGCCAATAAAAGTCCCGTCAAAATCGGTCTAGCCATTTCCGAGATTAGCCAGTACAAACAAACAGACAGACAGATAATAATTAAAAAGAATGTTATTTTGGTATAGGTATTGTATATTCATATACCTGTAGTAAAAAGCGGTTATATTAATATTACAAACAGACTCCAATTTTATTTATCTGTATAGATATAGATTACAACTACCATAATCCATTACATAGGAATGTCTTGATCTAGTTGTTTTGTTAGGACATAAATGTGTAAAAATTTTAAGCAATATTTACCATCATCAACTTCGAATGCTGGAGTAATGTGCAAAGGTATCGGTAGTATCAACTGTGACTGTGTCAATCCTAGAGTTACTTCATGGTATCTTGCCACTGTCATAGATCTGCTACTGGTCTCTTTGTTCATATTTTTAGATGGAGACTTTGATTTGATCACCTCTTCTGGTTGCAAAGATACTGATACCTGAAAAATATCGCTTAGCTTTGAAAAACTTTTAAATTATTCAGTTGTATAATGTAAACATGTTATTTTAAGAAACGTTGCCCCATACTAGGATTTTTTTACTGTCGATGTCGGTGCGTTTACAAACATTCACATAACACATAAACATGACATCTGTGGATATCATACAAAGAGTTCTACTTTGCGGGATTCGAACCCGCGACATGTTTCACAGCAGCCAGTTGCCCAGCCACTGCGCCAACCGTGCAGTCTGCTGTAGTCAGATGAATTAAAAACAGGTTTTATTTCTCACCAAAATAAACTATACACAAAATTCTTGTTTATAGGGTCCTTGAAAGGGAATTAGCTTTTAATTCATCATTTAAAATTTAATTATGGAAGAGAACAGCCAGTATTTTTGTCAGTTCTTTCTTCTGCCATATGTGTATTGTACATTGAGCTTTAGCTTAATGAGAAGAAGTCTGAATTTCTTTACCTGCATACAAGTGACTGTGCCCACAGAGAAGTCGAATGTGCCCACAATGTCCTCACCCAGCTTGTAAGCTGACTTGAAGAGACAGAACCGGCCCACTTTACCTCTGGTGTTTGTTATCATGTAAGAGTTTGGACTTCTTCTGGCTGTGAGATTCTGGAAATGAATTTTTCTTAGTAAGGATTTTATTTATATGCACCTAGACATGGGTTGGATTAGGTGAAACCGATACCTGATCCACCTAATCCTAGTATTGAAATATATCTAATCCATTTACCTAATCCTAATATTTTATTCAATATGGACTAGTCGCTGGCCTGTTACAAATATCGTATCGGTATTAAATACTTTATGTGGATTGGGTATGGAATATTCGGTATGGAGTTTAGACGTTCCATTTATGGCTAGAACACTAACTAGTTCTGTGGAATCCCACATAGATGGCGTTAGCGGAAATGCTAATAAAACTTGAAACGTAACTCTTACACTTTAAGGTGCAGAATATCTTCTGTGTAGACTGCGTACGAATATTCAGAGCCATACCTAATCCCCGACGCGTTGGATTAGGTACGGATTCGTATCGAAAAATACCTATTCCAATATTTATGTCTCACGCCTAAATGCACTGTTTCTACCAGTGCCGGCGTAAGTGCCACTGAGACCCCGGGCGAAAATATTGTGGCGCCCACTTGAGGGAAGCAATATCAAGTGTTAGTTTTTTGCACATTTTCTTTTACTTGTCATTTAGATTGAACATTTTGTTAATTTTTGATAACTTTGTAATTTTTTTTTTTTGGGACAAGCCCGCCACAACCTCCCAAAACCGCTGCAACTCCTCTAAGCCAGGATCTACAGTAGATACAACCATGAAAACACCAGAACACTGAAGTCCGGCTCGTCCTAGGGACATGAGTAACTGTCTTGGTTCCCGCAACGAAGTGAATCAGAAGATATTATAAGAGGAGAAGAAGAAAAAACTATGGTTTGATTTAATAACTTTGTAAATTAAAAATAAAGCACAGTTCTGAGGGTTTGCACCAGGAGAGACAAGAGACTCCAACTTCAGACCTTGGCGCCCTGGGCCATCCCCCCTAAAGCTGGCACTGTTACTGTCTCATTGGCCGAGCGGTCGCATGTGGGACTGCCGGGCAAGGGGTCTCGGGTTCGATTCCCGGATCGGGCAAAGTATTACTGGGTTTAAAAAAAATTCTCAGTAGTAGCACGAGTCTGGAATCGTGCCTGGTATATGGCAATAGGCTTACCTTATATTACATGGGATTCATAACATAAATAGTGAAAAATGGGTGTTACATAGTAGAGTGGCATTCAGTGCCGTAATGTGCACCTCTGCCTGCCGAAGGGGTTTTCGGAGATAAAAGGCGTGATGTTATGTTATTTTAATAGACTTTTTACCCTACCATTCATTAGAGGCCAATATAGTTCTTTTATAATAGGATTTTTTTTATTCTCTTCGGCGCAAAAAGGCTTAACAATACCGTGTAAATGTAGCTAATTTAGGTACAAACCTGTAAAACTTGCAAAGCCATAGTCAAAGGTGTTTCAACCTTCCTTTCTTCGGAGAAAGGGTTGGTTGGCTGCAGTTCCTCAGTGGTTTCATTTCCACACAAAGCTGCCAAATCCTGCATGTTCATTATAGGACTGATTGGTAACACCCGGAATGGTATCCGGACCATTTTGATGTGGGATCCAACTTTCTGTGTAGCTATTGTGATCTTGTAGGAGTATTTGACTGATGTCCCTCTGTATGAAGGTGGGGCTTCAATTGGCAGTGATTCTCTGTACCAGACTGAAGAGATAAAATTTATTTAATTGAATATGCTTACTTCATAAATGCCTGTCAGCTTTTTAAATAAAATTAAGGATTTCTATTGGTCGAATATAAGTCTTATAATCACTCAAACTCTCTTTGTAAAATATTAGTTACAATTGTAGCTTAGATAACAATTTTTCATTTTATTCTCTTTACTTTTAGTTTCATTTGAACAATGGTTTTGTAAATGAATTGTATTTTTAAAACTATGGACTATATTATGCTTTATATTGTTTTTCTTTTTAATAAATAAAATTGTTACTATTCCACAATTGTTACTTTATATTTTGCTGTGCCCGACAAGGTTCATTATTGAGTCCAAGTTTTAATCGCTTGAATGCACTGATATGAGACACAGTAGAAGATACATTGTTTCGTGTGGATCCACATTTAGACTCACTACGAGTTAAGCCCACTATATAACATCTTGTAAATTATTATGGTACTTATGCAAATAAAGGTATGAATGAATATGAATATCATTACAATATAGAGTCAAGTCAAGTCAAATCACTTTAATGCATCTATAGTGTGTACAGGGTGGTTTACAATTTTTGTCATAATTTGTTCCAACTATAGGCCTCTTTTGGGCACCGCAAAAGTACGTAGTCTACTTACTAGAGATTTAGAACTACCAGTGACAGTATATTGCTGGACTATTTGCCTTCTTTGTATCAAATATTTTATATTAAATATTAAATAGGTACAATACTTACAAGTTTTAGTTTCACCCAAAGGAATAGTCAAATCACAGAATAGAATCTTAGGTTTTGTATGGAATATAACATCTCCTATATCACAAGAGGTAACTTCCAAAGAGGTGGTCTTCCCTATAGTTGGAGTCTTGTCTCCTGTATTCTTGGACGTGGAATAGAAGCAGTGGATCTGAGCTGAAGCCCATGCTAAGTTTTCTAAAGCATCACTGAAAGAGAACGTAAGTAATTTTCATTATTTGGGTGATTTTTAGAGGATGTTAATAATGATTATAGTTAGGTATATTACTAGTGGCTTTGTGAATTCCTGTGCTCTGGTTGAGCGGTGTAACAAAATGATATACAGCATTCCAAGGCTTCGCCAGCCAAATAAACAGTCCCAGTCGTTAACTTTGCTGAAAGTTCGATCATTTTTATATTTTATTTTGAAGCTATTGTTCTATGAAATTATAGTGGCATCACAATTATGGTTTTGTAAACAGATAAGGATTTGTATGCGATATTTATTTCCAATTATTTAATGTGTATGTGGAAATTACAAATAAATGGTATGATGATTTGATTTCATCAACATCATCGACCTCAATCTTAAACATTTATTTATTTGTCTCTCCGTTTTGCGTACTGCAAAATGCATCTGACTATTTCAGTTTTAATCAAACTACCAATATCATTAATTTTTGGTCCTGGAACGCATTTGAGATTACGAAATGTATAATTTGACAGAAACGCTGTAGTTCTGAAATGTGCACTGGAAGTTGTCTATCAAAGCTTTTGTTTTATTAGGCATCTTCATAAAATTTTACAAAGAATAAAACAAGACCTATATAATCAAATTATTGATAACTTTGAACTGTTCAATCAATGTTTAATTGTTTGACATAAACCAACTCAAAAGTAATTATTATTAGCTACATTTTGATTATTGAACGAGCTTTTTACTCCTCTATACGCATTTTAAATGTTCACGAAATAAATGAAATTGTAAGTGAAATAGTAGTCGTTATAACGCGATAATTAAAAAAATACAAATAACAATAGTGCATTGTTTTTCAATATTGTATTGGTCTATTTGTTGTAGAGTGTATTTTCTGTGAAAGAAGATAAAAGAAAGAGTGACACCTAAAAAAATTGTTGATGTCTTCTTGTAACGGAACGACAAATTTAACGAATTTACGAATGGCGGATTTGAAAACTTGCACAAGTTTTGACTTGTAATTTGTATAAATTAGAAAATAAACAAAATGTTAATATCAGACGGGATAAATCATGGGAAATTACAGTCTATAATTGTAGGAGAATTGAAGAAAGCTGGCTTAAAGCATCGGCTAAAGAAGATTATATTGAAAAGTGTCAAAGTAGGTGGTTTTGCTTTTGTGTTGGAATTTGTCGGTGGTAAATTGCAATTTTTAGTAGAAATTCAACGAGAGTATTTGTTCTAGGACCACAAGACAGTATTTGGAGCGCCTTTAGTCAAGGTACCATCGTGCAGTGTGATATGTTGTGGCAGTACATTGAGTGTTCCCATTGTTGTCACTGAGATGTCCTCAGTGCTCCGGTCCAACGCCCATGTCGAGGGACTTTTTCGGAAAGCTGGCTCACAAAACCGCCAAAAAGATATAAAGGTATGTTTCTTAGATAATTGATTTTAATTCCTTTTACAAATCAGTATTTTTGTGACATTTAAATTTATCTATCTCAAAGTTGCTAAAACTTGATCAAGATTTCCCTCCAAAACAGCTTTCTCATTAGTCATATAATGATTTATTATGCATAAAGTAAAATCTCATTAGTACCAATTTTGGTGATACAATTTTATGTTAGATTTTTTTTGTAGCCTTATCTTATCTAACTGTGGAACATAATATGTATCCTGTATTGATAGTTTCATAGCAAAAAGCAGGAAATTTTACCGTGTGAAATGATTTATATTAATGGATGTATTGTCTGATAAGTTTTGACATTTGTATTTATGTAAAAGATAATGTTTTTTTTTTAATAATACATACTTGAGAATTCATGTAGATATGTTACCATTTACTAACATCCTTTATTATTAAACTGTCGAACACCACGCGGTCACCGGTGACCGCAACCTATTGTTCTTTAATTGTGTCTATAATGACGGTACTCAACAAGTTAAATAACTAATTGCTCTTACTGAAATCACATTATAATAGTGTAAGATGACCAATCTCGATTCAAACACCTCATTTTGCCTTGAAAAACGAAATATTCCTAATCTGTCATACACTGCGAGGACACTGGTGACCGCAACCTATTGTTCTTTAATTGTGTCTATAATGACGGTACTCAAAGGGTTCATTTGTAAATCTCATATTCTATTTTTACATAGTAGTTTCGTTCTAGATGAGTGCTAACCCAACAATGTTTTTATATTATTACAGAGGTTGTTAGATGCAGGAGGATGTGTATCAGAAGGCCACCATCCAATAGATGTGGCTAGCGTACTGAAGCTCTACCTCCGATGTCTACCAGAGCCACTGATCAGTGCGGAAGTCCAGGATTTGTTGTTACGATGTAGATTGACCGCTGGAGAGGATGCTCTGAAGCCCATACTGCATACGCTGTTGTTACTACCAGTATTACATGTCCATCTGTTACATTACATAATGGAGGTAAGAGTTTTTGTGTTTATTTTATTTTATAAACTTTACGTTCATATATAACCTGCGTGTCTGTCTCCCATTGGGGTAGGCAGAGACTATAGAATGCCATGCTATTCATACATACCTCTTTCGCTTCATCAACACTTAGAAACTAGTAGAACTTTTCTCAGTATACCAGAGTAATCTGCGAAATTTTGTTAACTCGTCTTTTTGTGCATGCTCATCGACATATATTAAACTTCTTCTTATAATGCCTACAATTTGACTTGATGAGACATCATGAGATTTGGTTGTGTACTTCCTTTCCTTTGTTTCATGTGAGATCATGTTTGAAAGGATATTTTCCATCTTCTTTACACACTTTCAAAATGCATTGCCAATCATTTGCTTCAACCTCATTTTGAGGATCATTTTTAGCCATCATCAATCACCTAACCATTTATCCAAATTGAGTTAAGTAACTCCTTCATGTTCCAGTTATTAAACTTCCTAGCATCAAAACACAAGGATAATCTGATGGACTCGTCCAACCTGGCCATAGTGATGGCACCCAGTATTATGCCACTGCCCGCTGCAGCATCTGCCCAGAGACTGGAACACCATGTTGCACTTGTTAAGGTAATACTGCTATTCTTTTTTTTTTTAATGTAACAAACACTTTATACTTCACCTTGTTGGTTCCAATTTGAGCAGTCAGTAATTTTATATAGGAAGCAATGTTTGCACTGTATGGTTAAAAACACAGTTGCATAGTTTTCAAAAGAATTACATAGTTTCATATGATACGCCAACTTATAAGAACTTTGGTGTTGTTTGTACTTGGTTATAGTGACCATCCATTAACTAAAACATATCTCTTTATAGTATATCCGAATGGAACGGTGGCCAGGCAACTGGCTGCCGTGCAACGAGTAGTGAAGGATTCCCGCACGGAGCAACTCTATGTGTGATACACAAATTGTTGTTTCGGGTCTGGGTGTCATGTGCATTTTTGTTGCACCCATGACATAGGAGAAAATCTTAGGATAGGCAACGTTTTTTTATAAAAGAAATAGTTCTTGAGATTGCTACAGATTATGTACATGTTATCTAACAATTTTTTTTTCCTTTACAAGATGTTCATCGAAAACTCGCAGCATATAGGGAAATTAACTGAAGAACTGATGTCACAGTTAGATGATGATTCCGATGGCTATCTTGCAAGGAGAAAGAAGAAGCGACGCAGCGGCTCTCTCAATCGTAAGTCCATATTAAAACCATCTTATACACTATTATAAAGCTAAAGAGTTTGTTTTGTCGTGAAATACTCGTCCAATTTGAAAAAAGCTTTTTGTTTTGGATAGTCCAATTACCGAGGAAGGCTCTAGGCTATAAAACATCATGCTTCGATCAATAAGAGCCGAGTAGAGCGGCTGGCGCTGTTCCACCCGCTCTACTCGCAAGTGAAACAAGTGAATTTATTTCTGCAAATAGGCTACAAGGCAGCACTTTTACACGTCAATTTTATCAAGCGAACGATGAGGTCGACATTTCCTAACTAACTACTCTGAGAAGAAATGCCGAAACAAACTCAGAGGTCTGTCTCTTTTAAAGTCCAGACAATATGTATAAAAGATTATGTGTGAGAACCGTGCAAGTTCTTTCTGTAGTGACCTTTTGAGGAAAGAACCACAACAGTTTGAGCAGACCCGTTTTGAAGACAGTACGCATGTGTCGGCTTACAGTCACGCGCGAAAGCAACTAGTATAAACATAATAGAATAATATGAAGGGCTGTATTGATGTTAGTAATCAACAACAGCATGACAGTGCACCGCTGAGCTGGCTGGACTATGTCAGGGGTCTCCTCATGTAAAGGTTTACAATTTTACATTAATGGCCATACTTGTCTGGTAGGTTGGAGATTGTTAGTATTGCTGTCAATTCTCTGTTAAATGAATAAACCTTTACACAATTCCTACAATACCTATGGTAGAGCAAAAAGCAGGCTTCAATACTGTTACTGCTAGACTTATGATGATATAGCAATATGGTGAAATCTTGTTTCCAGGAGTATTAAGCGGTCTTCGCAAAATGGTGTCAGGTAGTGTAAACACTCCGGCTACAGTCAATGAGAATGGCAAGACACCAGTCCTGAGCAAATCTGCGGCCAAGCGGAAGTTTGATTCGTATGAAGGTCTTTCTGCAAAAACTAAGTAAGTCTCCTGAAATTATGTCTATTTAATATTGAATACTTTTGTTAAAAATTTTATTAATATTATTTGTTTTGTTCACAGGAAAGATATAACGAAAAATCTTCCACAGAAAGAACTATCCTTTACACCCATGAAAATGTAAGTCTTTGACACCTTTAACTTATTTTAGCAAGATTTATTTAGCAAATTACCTACTCATACTCTTAACAACTTTTTCACAGGGGCCTCGAACGGAAACGATTACGACTAAGCCTTATGGACGCAAGAAGCACTCCTATCATCAACAGAGATTTTAGTTCTCACAAAAACTCGGAAACAAGTGTTAGTAGTGAAGATTTGTTAACCTCCTCTGAGCATTTGTTCAGTGCTCACGACACCATAGACTTGTCTCCCGATATGAAGCAGTTGGATAAAGATTACGTCAGAATCTCAAAGCAGGAGTATGAAGAGATCAAAAGCAGGGTATCAGCTATTGAAAACAGACTGTCTAGAGAATTCACTGACGTCATACCGAGAGTACAACCACTACAACAAGTACAAAATGTCTATGAACAAACATTAGAGGAAGTTGCTATGCTAAACTGCCCCAGTTCCGATCACTTGGCGCGTAGGTTAAGCAAAGAACTGAAGATACGACCCAATGAGGAAGCCAAAATAATACGATCACCAAGTGCTCGGAAAATTGGTTCAATACGACGGAGATCCAAAGAGAACATCACTAAAATTGTACGCCACAAGTCCTGGAATGTGTCGTCACAGTCGCAATCTAGTCATAATACCGATAGGTTTTATCCATACGTAGGACTGAATCGTAGAGAAAGAACTAGCACAGCAAAACCTGACTTAGAAACACAG